CTCTTGAATAAAAGCTTTATAAACAATAACATACTCACTGTTTGTTTTAATACAGTAATTGACTGATTCAATGTATTTGATAGTTCAAATTATTACAAATTCAGGGTTTCGTCACCTCCGTCAGATGTGTCAACTCCGTCAGTTCTGTCACCTCCATCAGTTGAATATTTTGATAATATTTCATTATGATATTTTATATTTATTGTGGAATTGTTGGTCACATGTGAAAGTGTAATCTGACTGCTAACACCAGAATGTGTTTTGAAATGTTAAAAACATCTTGAACGCTGTTAAAGATAAAGCTGAAATTATATTACACAGTCCAAGGTAAAAAAAAGCACATTTTGTTAAAAAAGAGAAAAGTTGGGAGGTTGTATCAAAGCATAGCTCAGTAGCTTAGTACATATAAGATACATAAATGTAGTTTCATTTGTCTGAGTACAAGGTTTTATTTTTTCAATTTTGCACCGTTTTGTCCCACTTCTCAAGAATGACTGATTTGCTCATCTTCAATTATTCAACTCTTTAACATTTAAATAATCTCGATTTCTTATCTAAACAAAATCAATTTAAATAGAAAAAAGTTATGAAAATATTGGAAAACGCTTTTTATGTGTATGAAATTCGCCAAATAAAATCGTAAGCTTCAAAATAACTTCAGTCAACAATCACATCTTTTCAACAGCACGAGGGGGGCGGAGGTCCTCTGGTCACATGACGCAAAGACGTCGTTGCCGGAAGCAGCCTCGTTCTGGCCGTCAGGGCAACACCTAGAAAAAAAACACATCCCCGACGACGCGCCTCAAGCCCGTAATATGGGCGAATTTTAACACAAAAAATCTACTCGTTTTGGCACCTTACCCTTTAACACTACACGAGGAACTCGTTGGGTTGTGATTCAGCTCGTTTTAACGGTCGTTTGAGCCATGTCTCGGGGCGCGCTGCAGCCGAGCCAGCAGAAGCTGGCGGAGAAACTGACGATCCTCAACGACCGCGGCATCGGGATGCTCACGCGCATCTACAACATCAAGAAGGTGAGAATAAGAGCTTCATGCATGTGTGTTTCGGACGGCTGCAGTAAGCGCACACAAATACACACACGGGGTTGATAAGGCCAGGCCCTGATTGAGTGCGTGCGTGCGTGCGACACAGCCATAAATCAGTGTTTACGCTGTATTCTGCATTACTGGCTCATTTTGAATGAGATTTAGTACAGGCTAGTGAATCTCCAGCCAAAACGAGTCGATCTAATCCAAATTAATAATGATTATTTTAATGGTGAGATGAGGATGGGTCATGTCTTAGTTTTACCTCCCCTGCGATCATAAAGCAAGATGCCATGCTATAACGTTACATGTATATTGCCACTGTCTATTCAGGGCTAAGTGCACAAAGCCATGATTGTGAATGCCTGTGAAGATTGTGTGTCCAGACTACAACCTTACCGTGACCCAGCTTTTAAAGCATTTATAATGACCCATCTATAAAGGAGTATAATCCAATCCAGACATCTCAGCTCAGAAAGCGTGAGTTTCTGCAAAGATCTAATTGTGAGTAGTTGGTAGTGGCCTGGCAGTGCTGGATAAATCGAATCTTTCTGTTTGATATGTCAGTGGGTGTGTTGAAAACAGCACACTAAGCCCTTGCACTCCTTCAGCTGTCATACCTGAAGTCCACACTATGTCTGACAGATGTCAGATCTGTAGGATTCTGAAGTGGGTCTGCTGGTGGTTTGGCAGTTGTGTCCTGCAGTATTGCTATTTCATAAATTCATTTTGATATTGAAGAGTGGCTTTAATCGTAAGTGTAATTGTTTGATTTTGCTGAGCTGTAATAAGAAATCATTGATCTGTGATTTTAAGATTCAGAGGCATTATGGGATGGGGATATTAAACATATTTGGCTGAATGTCACAGAACCACCAGCATGTCCGGGTCATATTTGAACACAAAATCAAAAGATATTTTGCTTAAATGTTTTGTATTGTGACATTATTTTCATGGCAATTAAGCACATTTTCCCCGCAAATTCTCATTCTTTTAATGCGAGAAGAAATATTTATTTTATAATATATATTTATAATGTATTTTGTTTTTATTGATATATACAACATTCTATATATATATACACACACACAGTTTAAAGTATACTTAATGATAACATTCGTTTCAATGGTTTAATGCTTATTTGATTTTTTAAAAATTATATTGCAGTATTTGTGTGACACTGTGTCATAACTAGGCTAGATATCAAGTGATTTGTCTGTCCACACTAAACAAATATAATAACAACAAATAAAATTATTAAAATGAATTTAAGTACTTGTTTTACATAATATTCACAGAAAAAAAAATGTAAAAAATGCTGAAAATTAATTTTGACAAGTGCAATGTCTTATAATCAAACAAACTGATTCTGATCGTCTTAAAAAGGCCAAACTGTAAATTGGCCTAAAAAAACAAACAAAAAAAATAACAAGAGAAAAAAAATGGAAAATGTAACAGTAATTTTAATGCCAGGACTTTATCCATTAATTTTACGGACATTTTCATTAACCATAAAACCCAATACAATGAAGTGCAACATTTAAAATACAGATAAAACACCTGTAAAAAAAAATCAATATGGAAAATACCCTCATATTAATATGTACATTGTGCCCTATTTTTTTTTTCTTTCAAAAAAAGTGCACAAATGTGAATTTGGCAGGAAAGTGCTTCAGTGTCATGAAGTAATGATATTTATTTTCTTCATCCAAAATCTATTTTATCCTATGAATGTTATGTTGAAATTCAATATCTTGAATCATGCAAACATTACACACAAATTAAAGCCTGTCAGTTCTAGACTGTATGTTCAAATAATTTTTGTTTCTTTCCCATAGCTTATAAAGCCACTTTCTAAGGTTTTTGAGAAAGGCTTGGCATTGAGGCTAGCAGTAATGGAAGCAGTCCAGATTAGAGGTCGACCGATAGTGGATTTTATTGATACCGATAGCTAAGTTGGACCACACTGGCCGATACCAATTAATCAACCTATAGTTTTTAAAATGAATACTGAACAAAAGCTTTACTATTTAAAAAAACAAAAACAAAAAAACAGTACTGAACCATACTTTGTAAATAAATAAAAATATTAATATTAATTAGCCTATATATTAATCATTCAAGTTAGTTCATATTTCATTAACTAATGTTAACAGAAGCAACTTTAAAATTTAAAAATGTATCAGAAGGCTAAATGTTGAAATTAACACTCTAACAAGGAACAGTACTTCTACAGCTTTCATTCATCTTAATGTTACAAATGGACTCTTGTAAAGTGTTACCATTTAATTTCAACAGTCATGCTTAAAGATGGCCATCTTTAAAAATCTACACAAAGGCAATAGCATTGAAATTACATACATATGGATATTGTATGTATACTCTCTCACTGTATTTGCTTATATTTTAGAACACTTAATGATTATCTAATCAAAATAACAAAATATGTTAGTCACACACTGGGCAAAAGTGCAGCGCTGTATCTGACAGTTCGCATGTATCGACTGGACGTGTCGCATACAATTCAAGCAGCAGTCTAAATCAGTTTGTTTAATCACCAAACAGGCAAAAGTTTACTTCAAGTTTGAACAAAGTGGCATATATGAATTTGAAGTTCAGTTTTTTAAAAAACAGAGCGAATGGAAAGAGAAAGCACAATCTATATTATAATGAAGCATACTTTATTAGAGCCTCAGAAAGACAAATGTTTAGCTGAAAAACGCACAATTCACAATTTTACAGCCTAGCGTAAAGTGAATTCACTATGTACATTAACAGCGATTTGGGACTAATTTAATGTAATTTAATGTAAATCTCTGTGAATGGCGCTCTGTGGTTCGACAGGATTTCTGTCGGCTGCATGAACATATCAGTTTGCTTTCTCACGTCACTAGCTTTAAATCTGCAACTTTTCAGACTAACAAATGAATTAATGTGACCAGCTGGATATAAACTAATGCAAATAGATGGTAACAATCGTGATTAATGTAATTGAATGTAAATCTCTGTGAATGGCGCTCTGTGGTTCGACAGGATTTCTGTCGGCTGCATGAACATATCAGTTTGCTTTCTCATGTCACTAGCTTTAAATCTGCAACTTTGCAGACTAACAAATGAATTAATGTGACCAGCTGCATATAAACTAATGCAAATAGATGGTAACAATCGTGACATTGAACATTTGGGCCAGACTTGCGTGTGTTTTGGTCACATTATTTTTGAGGTAATGCTAATGTTCGTGTCCTCTCAGCCTTGATGGCAAACATACTGCTGTACTTTCTCTACTAATGCAGCATTTAGACAACAAAATATTTACTTTATAATAGGGCTGAAACGATTAGTTGACAATTATTGATAACGTCGACAATAAAAAATTGTCGACAAATCTTTTTGTTGTCGAGTAGTCGTTTGATCTATAATAATAACGTGGATAATAACGTGGTTTAACCAGTGTGGCACTGTAGCGCAAGACTGTAATTCAGCCTTCCTGATGCAATTCAAGAGAAGAAGACAGAGCTTCAGAGCAAATGCAGCCAAACCTGAATGGCTTTTCACACTGAAAGCGGAAATTCGGAGCGATGACGCTTTTGAATCGAAACAATAGATCCCTATGGGGCTATTCACACCAGGCGTGATCATTTGCGGTGCGAAAAAGCGAGGATTTTTTTTCATCCTGTGTGTCGATTTTTTTCCCCGTCGCTCTACGATGAAACGGGCCGTCCAATCAGATTTGAGCTTAGATCACGTGCCCAGAGCAGCTGCTGTTGCACGAGTGGTGGCGCTGTTTCGAAAATTGGTGTAAACAAACACCGGAAAAGAGTATCCCAGTAGAGAGAAGAGAGTGGATGCCGAGTTCCTGTTTTCTTTCTTATCTGAGAACAGATTTATTCTCACATGTTCTAAATATAATTTCTAAATTCTCCATTGAATTATGTGATCTGGAGTGTCCGTTTTCTTCCACGTGCGCGAGTGTTATGAGTCAGAGCGCGTTAACTCTCTAGATCTTCCGTGTTTAAAAAAACGAGTGAAACATTTTTCTACACATGAAATATGAAAGCAAATAGACATATGATTATGATGAAATATTTTCTGTATGTGTTTTGTATGCAGCTCATGGTAATTTTATAACAATAAAGGATGTTTATGACAATAAGCAGTGTGGAGTTATTAAATATAGCCTACAAAGAGTGCATGTCTGCCTATTATAGAATCAAAATCAACTCGACAAGCACTCGATGATGGTTTATAGTGG